AATTCCCCAGCCAGCAAAGCTGGCTGGGGAATTCTGGGAGTTGAAGTCCTCCAGGCTTAAAGTGGCCAAGGTTGGAGACCCCTGTTTATAGACTGATGAGGGGAAGAAGGAAAATCTCGGTTAAGATAACCCCCTCCCTTTAGACTGAATAGAGCAGGGATCCCCAATTCCCAGGGTCGCATCCTGCTACCGGGCCTTGAGCAGTTCGAAACCGGGCCACAGAAGTGACGGGAGAGCGAGTGCATCCTCATTTGTGCAAGTAGGGGAGCACATGTTGTGCGCGCTCCCTTTGCACAAGCGTCAAGTACGCGTGCCCCCCCCTTTGTGGAAATAAGGTTGCGCATGTGTTCTAGCCTGCCGCTCGCGCAGAACCTTCCTCCCCACCCCAACCTGGTGGTCCACAAAGCCAGAAAGTTTGGAGAACTCTGGTACAGAGGATTCTTTAAGGAAAACTGGAAATAATATATAAACTGAGTTGTGAATTAGTAAAGCCTCTCCATTAGAAAAAAAAATGACATCAAAATTAAAGTAATGAGATTTCAGAAGCAGGAAGCACACTTTCATCAAACTTGGTTGAATTTTATAATTTACCTGAATAGCAATGAATTATAACTTGGTGTACTGCTTATTTATGACAAATTTTCACGTGTATGGTACCTGACCTTTTATTTACACAGCAGTAGGGTTTTTTTGTATTTTCTATAGTTTGGGGGGTATATATGTATCTTGAAATTATGTTTAACGCAGATATCTGATATTGCAAAAGGAAAAAAATAAACCTCTTCCTTGAAAGAATATTTACCTCTTCATGCCATTCAAGAAGCTACGTTTTTATTTTCTTGTTTATTTTTCATGTTTAGATGTTTGCTTTACTCTGGAAAGGAAAAACTAAACTAGGTAAAATAAATGCAGAATAAAGAGTAGCTCCAGTGCAAAAGAGGTTTGTTTCTTCTAAGCTACCATCTGATGGGTAGGCTAATAAGAAAAAGAAGAAAGGGAGGCAGAAACGATTTAAGCCGGCAAACGGTGAAAGAGAGAAGAATCATGATCTTTCTAAAAACTCTTTGCATATGTTACTGGCTGTTCCTTTTATATGTCAGGTTGATGGTTTAGAAGCAGATAAGTGACTTAATGCTGAATGTCAAATCTAGGAATAGCTCAAAGGGACCAGATAAGCATATGAGTTTTACAGAGCATCTTTATATCTCCCAATCGGTGTTTAGTTTGCTACACTATCTGCCAGGCCATCTGTGGCCAGGGAGCTGACACAATCCAAAATCATCCCCCAACCACTCCCAGCTGACAGAATGGCAAAAGGAGAACCCACTAGTAGAAACCCTGCTTTGAAACTGCATGATGGAAGTATAGATAAAAACAAAGCTCTGAAGAGCATCTAAATTAAACAACAGACATTCTCACTAACAGGAATCGCAATTTTTAATTTGATTTTGGGCCGGCAGCCATAACTTCAAGTGTCTTCCTTTATGAACAGAGAGGTGTGATCCGATGCAAACTCACATGGTCCCATTCTTGCTCGACCCAATGGGCAGGGCAGTTCTTATCTCCACAGGGGTAGGTTGCCAGGGGTTTAGTGTTGGGATTGCACTGGGACTCCGAGATCAACTTCCCTTCCACACTGCGGCAGGTGACCAAGCGATTCATCCGTCCCTCACCACACAAACCTGAGCACTTGAAGAAATAATGAGACTTTTCAAGGTAACTGGGATTAGTAGTAGAACTGGTCTTCACAGAGGCCTTCGCTTACTTTTGAAAGGATGCCTCTAACCTCATGACTTCTACAATAATTTCAGAAAACATACAGGCACTTTCTATTCTAGACTAGAATTAGTATCAGCCAGATCAGGAAACTGATTCCACAGGACGACTAGAATGAATGGAGACAGGCTACAGTAATAGACTCTTGCAAGTTTGATTATGTCTCTCCTTCCTTCTCTCTTTTACCCTAGTGAGACAGGAAGGAGTCTTCTGCAGTCTTTTCTTAATACTATCTTCCCTCCCAGACCTAGGCATTTTCTGAATATTTTCTTAAAGGCCATCTTTATGCCTCCCTAAACTCAATTAGAATATTTCCCATTCCCAACCCTTCCATGAAGATTCCAATAAAACACACACACACACAACACACACACCAGTCTTGACTCACCGGCCCCCAGTCAGAAGCCGCCCAATGCCTGTCACAGGGAGGACCTAAACACTCCTTCTCATTGACAGGCTTTGTAGATTGATTGCAGAGTTTGGGTTCGACTGAACAGCGCACTTCTCTTCTCATTGTCCCTTGACTGCCACACCGAGCAGAACACTGTAAAGAAGTGGGAACCAGAGGAGACAAAAGATCATGGCATGTGCCAGCAATGATGAAGATAAAAGTTATAAAATCACATTATCGCCAAATTTACCCATCACATCTTCTTTTGCCCTGCTATACTTACATATTATGGAACTATTACTCAAGTAATAAATGCTAACAATTATACATGCCTTCCTGACAAAGGCAAAATGAAGAAGGTGCCTCAGGCAGCAGATTTTCAGCACCCATAATTCAATTACAGTGGACTTTACTATCAAAATGGAATTTGGGGTAGTCCTTTTCCTGGAGTAGTGCAGTCCTCTTGAACCATGCTAGTTCATTTTTATATGATAATTTTTTGTCTAAACAGAGTCGATATTTCATGTCCCTGATTTTTTCCAATTCTTCACTGCTTTTTGGGGTAATATGAAATGGAGAGTAAAATACAAAGAACAAGAGCTGGGTGAGAGTAGCTAGTAGTTTTTCTAGCTCTAGATTCCTGAACAGTTTATATCAGTGCCGTGAATTGTGATATTTGAAGTTCATATTGGATCAAACATATTTTTACTAGCAAATTTCAATAACATATCTTCATAGTCATTGGTAGCATTGTTTTTCCCAAAAATGAAACTGCTTTCTGAAGCTACTGGAGAAGGATTAGTCACTTGCATTTTTTCTTTCTTTAAATCAACATTCCTGCCAGATCAATATTTTATACCGAATGTTAGCTAAGATATGAATAGTAATGAATAGTAATAACTTGGTCCTCACACTTGTAGTTCATCCTGCCTTGCCACAACTTGTGTGGACCCAGGATTAGGACCACCTCTGCAAAACATTGAGACCATCATGTGGGCCAATATTATACAACTGTTTAATTTAACGGCTAACCACTGGTATCCTTCTGTAAAATAGATTTTAGTCTATTAAGGAAGAGGCTGTTCCATTTCCATTAAGGAAGAGAAAAAGGGGCCAAATACAAGAGAGCACTTGCACTTTTACTATCAGATGAAAATTTCATGATAAATTATACCTATTAACATGTCTTTTTCTGCAAGGAAGGATGCTGGTGCTCTGTCCTTTTGTGCATCTAGTCACCCTATCTGCACTTGCTTCTAAACTCAGGTGTCTAAAAGAGACATTCAATTGCATCTCTGAGGAGATTCACACTTAACTGTTTCCTTAAACCCATGTTGAACATCAGGGATAAGCATCTTCATGTTCTCAATACGTTTTGGACATCAGCTGCCATCAACCTTTGCCAACCTGATTAATGGCAAAGGATTGGTAGAGTTCAAAACATCTGCAAAGCACTATCTTAATTTTGTGCAAGTTCTTTGGTATGTGTGTGTATGTGTGTGTGTGAAAAACCTACCCAAGAGCAACATACCTCAGACCATTCTGACAACTCCCACTGCGGCCCACAAACTTTGTTCTTGCATGATTTCCGTTCCATAGGCCTGGTTAGCCCAGCTGACTCACACATGTCATCGTAGACTGAACTATCAAAGCCTGGAGCCAGCATCTTCCAACAGCGCACAATTCGGTACTGATAACCTTCACCACAAGTTCTTGAGCACTCACTCCACTGGCTGGTCTCCCACCTCCACATAGGAAACAATGGCAAGAGAAAGAAAAAGCAATTTGGGCATAGTTTAATGCAAAGGGGGAAAAAATAATAAAACTGGCTAAGGTTCTATACAAACTCCTAAATCAAAGATCCTTCCATAAAGATCTATTATAGTTGCCTCTCATTTTTCTCTTTGAAGGAGCAATTCTGTCTGCTCTGTAAGGAACTTTTCCCCCAAAATTCAAAACCTTTAAAACTTCCATAGCAATTTTCATACATTTGCATCTGCACAAGAAACAAAAGGGACAGAAAAAATATTTCACATTATCTTCTGCTAGCTTAAGCGATAAGGTTTAATTTCAGTGTTCCAACTGCACACATATCACACAGGTTCCAGAATGCCTTCCCAAGAGCTGGCTCTTTTCACTCACCTAGGCTGGCACTCTCTGCCTGCGCAGAATTCATGGGTGGGTTCAGGACGAGTCAATGCATCACAGTAGGTTTCTTCCACTTCCACCCCATCATAGCGGACACACATAGCATAGGAGGTGCTGATCCCTGCATACACAGCAAAGCTGAATCATCATTAGCTGCCTTACAGGATTAAGTGCTTCACTAACAACTATGGTCCAAAGTAGCAGCAAGCGACTGTTTCTTCCTATACCTTAGATATCAGGAAAAGAGAGAAAGTTGGGATTTCCTCAGAAGGGAGAAAGATAATTTCCCCCTGCTGTGTGAAAAAGCACAACCTTTTTTTCCATAAAGAGATGAAATGGACAGAAAGAATAACCTTGAGGAACAGTAGGAAGAGCCTTTATTAAGACAATGGTGAGATGAAAAGAAACCAGAGCCAGGCCAGAACTGTAATCTGAGAAAGCATATCAGAAAAGACCGTCCCTAGTTCTCACAATTTTTTTTTTAAAAAAGGGGGGGAAGCAGAAGCATTTTCAGATTTGTGAGAGTCTGTCAGTATAACCTAATAATTAAAGCAGGATTAAATTGGTGACTTTTGTTTCCCAGTCTGGTCTACATTGGATGGCTGACAGGAATATACTGTACGTATTATTTTCCCAACTTTTTAAAGGAAACCCAGAAATATATAATAAATAAAGTTGTTCAGTCACGGATACACAATGCTCAAGTCCTTTTTTTTAAAAAATAAAAGTTTTATTTAAGTTTTCACAAAACATACAAATAAAATATCTTTTTTTGAGAACAGCGTGGCCCCGGGTTATCACTTCTCCATACAGACATAAAATCAATACATATTTATCTTATACATTCTAATCCATATCTTATAACTATTTTCACAATTTTTTCAATAGCTTTTCCCTTTACTTCCTATAGCCTTATTTTAAATTATCTCATTCCTTTCTTAATTCAATTATATATCTTTTTCTAATTTTTCAAATCTTTCTAATCAATGTTTTTATACTTTAGTCTGTCCTGTTTACAATTTCATATTACCTTTTCTCATAAAACAAATTTTCCCCTGTAATTACTAGACTGGAGTGTAACACCGTTGTATCTTTTTTCAAATCTTATTTAAAAATTTAAGTTACATCTTTACAGTTATAACATTCATTTTCTAACCTCTATTTTATAACACATACCTATTTTCAATCGAATTCTGCTTGGTACATTCCCTTAAAATACACACTAAATTCTTAAAAGAAAAAAGTATATATGTATATATATCTGTTTTCTGAGGTTCTCGCGGGTATTTGTATGTGGATCTTTGGTTATTCGGGTTTTCTCCCGCGTAAGATTGGAAGTATCTAGGCAACGTTTCGATGAAGTCTCATTCATCATCTTCAGGCTTCTGTCTTCAGCTCTGTGCTTCTCACTCTGAGAAGCACAGAGCTGAAGACAGAAGCCTGAAGATGATGA